TAAAGGTACACAAAGACACACTTATCTAAAAGCGGGCGGAAGGCTTCGTTCATGGTCATTTGAAAAGTGGCGGGGGCGTTGGTCAGTCCGAAGGGCATGACGGTGTATTCGTAGGATCCGTAGCGTGTTCGGAAGGCTGTCTTGGGGCAGCCGGGTGGGATGACGCGAATCTGGTGGTAACCTCCCTGGAGGTCGATTTTCAAGAAAACCCGGGCTGTGCGCAGTTTGTCGGCTCGTTGAATGGGGTAACTGGATTTTATGGTAACCCTGTTCAGTGCTCTGTAGTCTATGCACATGCGAAAACCCCCGTCCTTTTTCGGTGTGAACAGTATCGGTGCTACAAAGGGCGGCGAACTAGGGCGAATGAACTCCTTCTCGAGCAGGCAATCCAGCTGCTTCTCCAGTTCGGGTTGGGTCAGTCGGAACTGTCGCTGTACTGTTGGCTGTGCCCCCGGTTCTAGTTCTATCCTGTGGTCGTGCGGTCGCTAGAGATGTCACTGTGAGGAAAGTAGAACGAGGATGAATGAACTATGAATGAACTGAGTACAAGTACTAACCCTAATTGGGTTGTACCCCTTATGGGCTACCCCACTATGGCCTAAACAATAAGCAAAAGCTATATGTTCTGAAACACCCCCATAGGCAAAGTGGGGGAGAGCAAGGGGTCACAAGACCAGTCAAGCAAAGCAAAGCAAAGCAAGCTCAGGGTGGATCACAAAGTCACCACACATTCTGAGCACAAGTTCATGGCCACAAGGCCAGTTCACATGCAGGAGGACATATATATAAAGGACTAGACAAGCAAGAGCAGGTATATATATATGCAACAGTACAAGCAAGGTCAAGAGGTGAGCAAGTGAGGCAAGACAGGCACAAGAACCAGCTGCGTGCAGAAGCGCTGATGATCACAAGGCGCAAGTGCCTTGGTGAAGACATCAGCAGTGTTGGCCTCAGAGGCCACGTACGCAAGCCGCAACTGACCACGCTGCTGTAGCTCACGAGCAAGGAAGTAGCGAAGAGCAATGTGCTTTGTTCTGTGCTCCCGTCTCTGCTCTCGACACAAGGCCAGCATGGCCTTGTTGTCTACGTACAGGACTGGAGGAGAACGAGGTGGCTCTCCAAGGTCGGTCAGCAGGTAGGTGAGCCAGCGAAGCTCCTGTGCAGCCATGGCCCCGGCGTAGATCTCAGCCTCACAACTGGAGCCGAGAACAGAAGACGAGCGAGTAGCCCGCCACGAAACAGAGCCGGAATCGAGGCTGAAGGTGTAAGCCTGTGACGACCGCTGCGTAGCCTGGTCGTCAGCCCAAGAAGCGTCCGCGTGCCCAGTGAGGACCACTGGACTCCGCCCTCCAAGCACTAGCCCCATGCCCGACGTACTGCACAAGTAGCGCAACACCCTCTTCGCTGCAGCCATGTGCTCTGGTCGGTGTCTCCCAGGAGCAACATAGCGTGCAAGAATGCTAAGAGGGTATGCAAGGTCAGGTCGTGTGCAGGTCATTAGGTACATGAGGCAGCCAACAAGCTCTGGATACGGGCCACTCGACTCTACGGACTCATCCGAAGGCAGAGCTGAGAGTGAGTGGCGAGTAGGCAGAGGAGTGGCCTGAGGCGAGGAGTACGTGAAGCCGAAGCGCTGAAGGACCTGCTGCACCATGTGTGACTGAGTCAGGGTAATGGTGCGGCGTGCTCTGTCCCGGGTGATCTGCAAGCCAAGGTAGCTGCGCAGTTCACCCAGGTCAGTGCACGTGTGTCTCTTGTGCAGCTCGGACTTCACGTAGGCGAGTCCAGCAGTGTCAACTGTGGCAAAGACCAAGTCGTCGACGTACACGAGGATGTAGAACGGCGGCAGAGAGGTGTCGGTGCGCAGAAACAGCGACGGGTCGGCAGTAGAAGGAGCAAACCCAAGAGCCGCAAGTGTAGTCCTCACTGTGTCGTGCCACTCACGTGGCGCCTGGCGGAGACCGTAGACTGGACGCCAGAGACTCCACTGGGTACCAGGAGGGAAAGACCCAGTGAAGCCAGGTGGGCGGCGCAGCCAGATCTCCTCGTGCAGGCTGCCCTGCAAGAAAGCAGTGCTGAAGTCGAGAGAGTGCAGCTCGTAGTCACGGTGAGCAGCAACGTGCAGCAGTACCCGAAGAGTGGTCATCTTCGGGGTGGGGGAGAAGGTCTGAAAGTAGTCAACTCCCTGCCGCTGACTGAAGCCACGAGCCACGTAACGCGCCTTGAAGACAGGCGGAGAACCCGGCGGCCGCTTCACCCTGAAGATCCACATGCCACTGACGATGTTCGCCCCAGGAGGGGGGACAGCGTCAACGTAGGTGCCTGTGGACTTCCAGGAAGCCATCTCTGCATCCATAGCTGCCTGCCACTGAGAGGAGTAGGGACCCTCTATCGCCTCCGCGTAAGAGCGCGGAGTCGGGATGTCAAGTGCATCCGGGTCTCCCTCAGGGGTAAGCAGTACGGACACAAGATGAGGTGAAGCAGCTGCCAGACACTGGAACTCCTCCTGCCTGTCCTCAAGGACGTCCGTGCCAAGGGCACACTCATCCCCGACGGACGGAGGACAGACAGACTCAGACTCAGCGACAAGACTAGCAGTGTAGTCTAGGCGACAGCGAGCAGCAAAGTCGACGAGCTCAGCAACTAGGGCAGACGCAGCAGTGGACTCGAAAGAAGGGTCAGTGACGATAGTAGCAAGGAGACGCGTGACAGTAGGACTGGCAGCACAAAGAGAGTCCAACTCCGGGTCGGCAAGAGCAGGACGAGAAGACTCAGGAGGAGAAAGCAAAAGGGCACGCAGAGGAGCAGTAGACGGACACAGAGACATCCTGTGTGTGCCAGGGACAGGAGGAGGACGCGGACACGAACCACGACCACTAGCGCGAGCAGGACGGACAGGCGACGTAGGGCGAGACGCAGGCTCACGACGCTCAGTAAGACCTCCAGTAGGACCACCGTAGGGAGAAGGAGCAGGCAAAGGGTAGGTAGGCTGTAGCTGTGACTGTGACGGGACAGGCTGTGGACCCTCTAAGGGAGGAGGAGGACCAGTAGAAGGTGGAAGACCAAGAACCTGCTGCAGGAGTGCAACGAAGTACGGTCGAGGCCGCATGGCGACACCAGAAACAGCAGGGACAGCACCAGTACCACCAGCAGGAGCACCCGCTCCAGCAGCACCTCCAGCAGCTCCAGAACCTCCAGCAGCACCAGGAGCACCCCCAGCAGGACCGCCAGAGGTAGTCTCAGCGCCAACACCCTCAGCAGCACCAGCTCCAGTCGAACCTGCAGGCCCAGCAGCTCTAGTACACCCAGTACGAGCACCTCCGGGACCCGCGACAGCAGCACCCTCAGCAGCCAAAGAACCTCCAGCACCAGCAGCACGGCTCCAGCGCCGGGCAAACCACTCGCGCAGCTCCTGTGGAGAGAGTGGCTCCCGGCGAGATGAAGCACCCGGAGAACCTCCAGGCGAAGCACCTCCAGGCTCAGCACCCCCAGGCCCAGCACCCCAAGGCAAAGCACCCCCAGGCGTAGCACCCCTAGGCCCAGCACCCCCAGGCTCAGCACCCCCAGGCTCAGCACCCCCAGGCGTAGCACCCCCAGGCTCAGTACCCCCAGTCTCAGCACCCCCAGGCTCAGCACCCTTAGCAGCACCAGAGTCACCAGTGACCTCGACAGGCTCGACTGCGTCTACCTGGGACACACCTGAAAGGGTAGGACCCTGAGGGGGGAGGGGGTCTACCGGGGGGGGATCTGGTACAAGGAAGAGCGGGGGCGGGGGGAGGGACGGAGTGCGGTAGGGGAAGAGGTGGTAGTAGGGGACCGACTCGTCGAACGTGACGTCATGGGAGGACAGAACACGGCGAGAGGTGGGGAGGTAGAACTGCCACCCAGGCGCGTCAGGGGGGAACCCCAGGAAGACGCAAGGAGCAGCACGAGGGGATAGCTTGTCCGCAGACAAGTCGCGGACAAACGCTCGAGATCCCCAGACCCGGAACGCCGATGCATCGCCAACCTTCCCCGTCCACAGCAAGGCTGGGGAGGTCTCCGGCCTGGAGACCCTGGGGTGAAGGTTGATCTGATGCGCCGCGTACCTGACCGCAAACGGCCACAGAAAATGGGGGGCAGCCGCATGCATCATAGACGTACGAGCAACGTCCATGACCATGCCAATGCGGCGCTCAGCAATCCCATTTTGCTGCGGAGAGTCCGGAAGCGTGAAGGTCTGACGGATGCCTCGTGCACGACAGTAGGCTCGCAGAAGGCCAGAGGAGAACTCTCCGCCTCTGTCCGAGTGCAGACGCAGAACAGGAAAGTCCGAGCCAAAGCTCTGCCTGAGCTGGAGACGAGCTGCGCGGATCCAGTCGGTCAGCACCTCAGTGACATCACCCTTGCTGCGCAAGGGGAAGACTGCGGTGTAACGCGAGTGGTCGTCACCAACGAGCAGGAAGTAGCGCTCGTGACCCTGCCCACGGACGCGGGCTGGGCCCCACACGTCCATGTGAAGCGTCTGCAACGGGGCCTCTGTCGGAGGAAACTAGGAGGAGTGAGGGGCAGCATGCTGGCGCCCCTCGACATAGGGGACACAGGTAGGGCCAGGGCCCTGAGGAAGGGGAGGGAGGGACCGGGGGAGACCAGACACTAGAAGACGGGAGGCCATGCCTCTGAGCCGAAGCAGAGAGGGGTGACCAAGATGGTGGTGCCAGAGGAGAGTCTCGTGAGACAAGAGACGATACGAACAGGGGGCAGACTCAGGACCAGACCTGGACGCTGCAGCAAACACCTGACCTGACGCAGCGACCCTACCAGACTCAGCAACGGGAGGAGACACAGTGGTCAGTGTGTACAGGCTCGACCCCGGCTGACGGGTAAACGTAGCCAGGTGTCGGCCTGTGCTAGCCTCTGTACAGTGCGTCACCCGCTGACGCGCAGGAGTGAACTGGTGGACACCCGCATCCAGCGAGGGATCTCTGAGGCCTCCGGGAACTGGTGACGCCACGCGTCCGTCAGGCGGCCAAAGCAGCGCTGGGTGGGGTGGGCTCCCCCACACTGCTCACCCGCACGGTTGCCGATGCGCAAAACGTAGGAGCACGGACCAAAACCCCCACCCCGCTGGCGCGCAGTGTACCACTCACGGAGCTACTGAGGGGATAGGGTCTCACGACCGCACTGCTGCTGCTGGCGCGTGCCACCATCGGAGCCACTCCTCTGCGAAGACCCGCGACCAGTACCACCGCCACCCCCGCCGCCTCCGCCGCCTCCGCCGCCTCCGCCGCCTCCGCCACCTCCGCTACTGCCGCCGCCTCCGCCTCCGCCTCCACCGCCGCCACCTCCGCCACCTCCGCTCCCAACGCCACCGCCGCCGCCACCTCCGCCTCCACTGCCGCCACCGACCCCTCCACCCCCACCGCCACTCCCACCGCCACTCCCACCGCCACCCCCACTCCCCCCACCGCCGCCACCTCCACCTCCACCGCCCCCGCTCGCTCCTCCAGCGCCCTTGCCCCCCTTGCCCTTGCCAGGGCGGCGTCTCCCGCTAGGGGCAGATGCCGCACCGACCGACTCAAGACCAAGGAAGTCGGCCGCAGCAGCAGAGGCAACAGAGGGCAGAAGGGGGGAGGGGGAACACCCCTCAAAGATGGGGGTGCGCGGGTCACCACGAGAGGCCCCTACAGCGACTATGCTCTTCTCGGCCGCTAGGAGGGACTTCTCGAGGAGGTGAACAATGAGAGTGGTGGGACAGACAGAGAGGAAGTGGTCCCTGACTACACGAAGGGAGTCAGGGAGGCGAGTGATTATGTAGTAAAGAGTGATGTACATGGGGGGGGGGGGGGGTTCTTGGCGCAGAAGATAGGAGGAAGTGCAGCGCGGTAGCGAGTGTCACTAGTCCGGAGGTGAGTAATGAGGTCAGCGACTGTGGGAAAGGCAGCAAGGTCAGGAAAGAGGTACGGTAGCATGAGACGGCTCAGTGCAGCAGTGGCAGGGGAGGAGTAGCGCGCAACTACAGCGTCGTACAAGGTCTGAGCACTCTTGTACTGACTAAAGTGCGCACGCTCGGAGGTAGGGAGGTGGCGACGCACAGCAAGACGTGCAGTAGTGTCGCGCGTGGCCCACTGGGAGCGAACAGTGGCGTCAGCATCAGCAGCAGGGGCAGGGGAAGCGCCAGAGGTGAGGTCAAAGAGAGAGAGGCCGTCTGCCCTATCGCACTGTAAGAACAGCTGCAGGTCATCTACCCAGACCTCAAAGTCAATGGCCCGACCCTCAGCGTCAAAGGGGAGGACACTAGGGGTAGCCATGACCCTAGACGACTAGCAGTGCAAACAGTAGGGTGAGGGCAGCGTAGTGAAAAGCGCGCAGGTCGGGCGGCCCGGAAGTAGGGCGGCTCGGCGGCTCGGCGGCTCGGCTGCTGGGCGGCTCGGCGGCTCGGCGGCTCAGCTGCAGGGCGGTTCGGCTGCTGGGCGGCTCGGGTGCTGGGCGGCTCGGTTGCTGGGCGGCTCGGCTGCTCTGCTGTAGGGCGGCGCGGTGGTCGGCTGCTCGGCCGGTTGAGACGGCTCGGGCGGTTAGGGTGGCGGGCGGCGCTGCAGCAGGTGACGGGGCCGAGAGCGAGGCGGCGGGGCCGCAGGTAGGGTGGCGGGGCCGCCGAGTGAGGCGGGGCCGCTGAGATGGGCGGCGGGGCCGCAGCGAAGGGCGGCGGGGCCTCAGTGTGAGGCGGCGGGGCCGCAACGAAGGGCGGCGAGGCCGCAATGTGGGGCGGCGGGGTCGAAGCGAAGGGCGGCGGGGCCGCTGAGATGGGCGGCGGGGCCGCAGCAAAGGGCGGCGGGGCCGCAGCAAAGGGCGGCGGGGCCGCAATGGGAGGCGGCGGGGCCGCAGCGAAGGGCGGCGAGGCCGCTGAGAAGGGCGGCGAGGCCGCAATGTGGGGCGGCGGGGCCGCAGCGAAGGGCGGCGGGGCCGCTGAGAAGGGCGGCGGGGCCGCAATGTGGGGCGGCGGGGCCGTAGCGAAGGGCGGCGGGGCCGTTGAGAACGGCGGCGGGGCCGCAGCAAGAGAGGCGGCGTAGCCGCAGCGACGGGCGGCGGGGCCGCAGCAAAGGGCGGCGGGGCCGCAGCAAAGGGCGGCGGGGCCGCAGCAAAGGGCGGCGGGGCCGCTAGGGCGAAGGGGCCGCTAGGGCGTTGAGGCCGCTAGGGCGGCTCGACGAGGTGAGAGCCCGGAGCGCGACTCGGGCTGAGCGCGCTTCGGGCAGGAAAAATAAAAACTCGATGTGGTGGGCCCTAGGCACAATTCCCACGGGGGAACCTGCTCGATACCATGAGGAAAGTAGAACGAGGATGAATGAACTATGAATGAACTGAGTACAAGTACTAACCCTAATTGGGTTGTACCCCTTATGGGCTACCCCACTATAGCCTACACAATAAGCACAAGCTATATGTTCTGACACACTGTATTGCTTCAACAGTGTTGTCAGATCACCCGGTACGTCGGCTAGCAGTTTCTGTAAATCCCCCCCTTTGTCTATTGCCTCGGCTTCCCGAATGTCAACCGCGTGCACGTCAGCTCCTGCCGCTACGGCGCGTTTCATCGTGATCGTGTTGACACGCACCGACGAAGACTCGGGCGAGCCCCAGCGAGGTAAGGCGATGTTGTTGCCGTTCACTCGCACAGTGCAGTCACCCGTCGTCCAGTCGATTCTTGGATTGTGTCGTCGCAGCCAATCAGTGCCGAGTAAAATGTCGGTTCCGTCGAGGGTCATTGCGAGCATTTCCTGGCTAAACATGAAATTACCCCCGAATCCAATCCGAACTCGGTCCACACGTTCCTGTATCGCCAGTGGCGTGCCGTCGACCACTTTTGCGTCGATCTCGGGTAAGCATCTATCCAGTGGCAGTCGCAGTTTCCGTGCTGTGGCAGTGTGGATAAAGCTGTGGCTGGCCCCTCCGTCTACGAAGATTTTAAACAAGTCCGCCCCAATTTTCCCACAAAGCAGTATGGGGCTGTCTACCGTAATACCCTCCTTATTCGGCCGGGTGTGGTCAATTGCGCGAACCGGCACAATCACTCGGTGAGGGTCGGTTGGGTCGGGTGAGCGGCGTGACCTGTCAGTAGAGGGCCCATCTGCTACTGACTCCTAGCGTTTCCCTGCTGCTTGGTCTGTTTCTGCTGCTCAGCTTCCCCCTTTCCCTTAGCGTTTTCTGGGCATTCGCTCTTACGGTGTCTCGGCCGATTGCACGCAAAGCAGCACCCTTTGAATGGTGCGGCAACGACATTTGCGGCGATGGCACGTATCGTAGCGCCCTCGTTCGTCCCACGAGGCTGATGTCCCCAATTGCTGCTTCCATAGGACCCCGGTCTCAGTCGGCGGAAGAAATCGAGCTTCTCCGCCATAGCGAGGATTTCTTGAAAGTTGGTGACGCCGCGAAGCTGGATTTCCTGAGCGTTGTCCTGCTTCCGGCCGCCGATGTAGCGGTCGATGCGCTCGCTCTCATACATATATCCCACCTGCTCGCATAGCGCTAGAAATCCGCTCGTGTAGTCTTGGACGGAACCGAGTTGGCGCCAAGTGCGGAGCTTCTGTCGCGCCGCGATCGAGGCCGCTATTGGCTCGGAACGAGCGCGCAAACCTGCGCACCACGCGTCCCACGTGCGATACTGGGGCACCTTCACGAAATACGACGGCGCCCAGGGTCCGGTTTGTCCTTCCCGTGTCGTAGAGTCGCGTAATCCACCGGCCTCGTGACGATGACATGCCACCAGTCCATGGCGGGTCCTCGCAGCAACGACATGGCGTAACGAATCTTCGCCGTATCCTCCGAGACGTAGTTCGCGTCGAAGAAAACATTCAACGTGAAGAGCCACGCCTGAACGGTAGGACCACCCCGTTGACTCGGGTCGAAACACGGCAAACGCTGCGGCTTCAGAGACATCGGCGACGGTAGAGTCGATCCGCCGGCCGGCACGGAAATCGTGACTCGAAGCTGATTCCTTGCTGCATTTGTCGCGTCGGGGTGTGTCGTACCGTGGTCGTCGTCTCCGCCATGGCGGACAACGCCATCACTGGCCGCGCTCGCGGGTTGCCCCACACTTCCGTGTTGCGATGTCTGTGGTGCGGGTTGTATCGGAGTGCCAGGCGCTTGGGATTGTATTCGTGCGAGGTCATTTTGCATAGAGGTGCATTCCGCCGTTAATGCCACGATTTCTTCAGAGCTTTCGTGCTGTTGTCGCAGCAGCTCGTCCAGGCGGTCCTGCGTGAGGGTGGTGACGTCGATGCGTTCGGCCATTCCGAAGGGCGTCGGCTCGTCTTAGTCTAGGCGCAGTCGTGGCTGCAAGCGTTTACGAGAGAACGCGAGGACAGCGGCTCCTAGGGGCTAAGGTGCGTGAGTCTCTTCGAGTGAAAAAATCAAAAGTTTATTTCCTGGGGTGCAGAGATGCGCGGTCCAAAAAGAAAGAGGCTCAGAATACCAAGTGTTACGGGTGCAATGAATCGAAGTAGCGAGAATTGCACTAAGGTGTCAAACGAGTACAAAATGTGAGCGAAGGCATGAGCGAACATTTATACGCGAAACATGAGATGAAACGAGAATTGAATGAACTATGAATGAACTGGGTACAAGTACTAACCCTAATTGGGTTGTACCCCATATGGGATACCCCACTATAGCCTACACAAAAGCAGAAGCTATAATTTTTTGACACACCCCCATAGGCCAAGTGGGGGAGAACAGGGGGTCACAAGACCAGTCAAGCAAAGCAAAGCAAAGCAAAGCAAAGCAAAGCAAGCTCAGGGTGGATCACAAAGTCACCACACATTCCAAGCACAAGTTCAAGGCCACAAGGTCAGTTCACATGCAGGTGTACACACATATATATAAGGCTAGACAAGCAAGAGCAGGTATATATATATGTTACAGTACAAGTAAGGTCAAGAGGTGAGCAAGTGAGGCAAGACAGGCACAAGACCCAGCTGAGTGCAGAAGCGCTGATGATCACAAGGCGCAAGTGCCTTGGTGAAGACATCAGCAGTGTTGGCCTCAGAGGCCACGTACGCAAGCCGCAACTGACCACGCTGCTGTAGCTCACGAGCAAGGAAGTAGCGGAGAGCAATGTGCTTTGTTCTGTGCTCCAGTCTGTGCTCTCGACACAAGGCCAGCATGGCCTTGTTGTCTATGTACAAAACTAGAGGAGAACGAGGCGGCTCTCTGAGGTCAGTCAGCAGGTAGGTGAGCCAGCAAAGCTCCTGTGCAGCCATGGCCCCTGCGTAGATCTCAGCCTTACAACTGGAGCCGAGAACAGAAGACGAGCGAGTAGCCCGCCACGAAACAGAGCCGGAACCAAGGCTGAAGGTGTAACCCTGTGACGACCGCTGCGTAGCCTGGTCGTCAGCCCAAGAAGCGTCTGTGTGCCCAGTGAGGACCACTGGACTCCGCCCTCCAAGCACTAGCCCCATGCCCGACGTACTACACAGGTAGCGCAACACCCTCTTCGCTGCAGCCATGTGCTCTGGTCGGTTTCTCCTAGGAGCAACATAGCATGCAAGAATGCTAAGAGGGTATGCAAGGTCAGGTCGTGTGCAGGTCATCAGGTACATGAGGCAGCCAACAAGCTCTGGATACGGGCCACTCGACTCTACGGACTCATCCGAAGGCAGAGCTGAGAGTGAGTGGCGAGTAGGCAGAGGAGTGGCCTGAGGGGAGGAGTACGTGAAGCCGAAGCGCTGAAGGACCTGCTGCACCATGTGTGACTGAGTCAGGGTAATGGTGCGGCGTGCTCTGTCCCGGGTGATCTGCAAGCCAAGGTAGCTGCGCAGTTCACCCAGGTCAGTGCACGTGTGTCTCTTCTGCAGCTCGGACTTCACGTAGGCGAGTCTAGCAGTGTCGGCAGTGGCAAAGACCAAGTCGTCGACTTACACGAGGATGTAGAAAGGCGGCAGAGAGGTGTCGGTGCCCAGAAACAGCGACGGGTCTGCAGTAGAAGGAGCAAACCCAAGAGCCGCAAGTGTAGTCCTCAGTGTGTCGTGGCACTCACGGGGCGCCTGGCGGAGACCGTAGACTGGACGCCGGAGACTCCACTGGGTACCAGGAGGGAACGACCTAGTGAAGCCAAGTGGGCGGCGCAGCCAGATCTCCTCGTGCAGGCTGCCCTGCAAGAAAGCTGTGCTGAAGTCGAGAGAGTGCAACTCGTAGTCACGGTGAGCAGCAACGTGCAGTAGTACCCCAAGAGTGGTCATCTTCGGGGTGGGAGAGAAGGTCTGAAAGTAGTCAACTCCCTGCCGCTGACTGAAGCCACGAGCCACGTACCGTGCCT